GAGGATTCAGAGTGAAGCAGTGGTCTATCCCGTTGATCAGGATATAGCCAATCAGGCCTATGTGTGGGCATGGCCTTCTCCTGAGCATTCTGGGAACTCCTATATTCCTTTGTGGAGGTGGGAGACACTCTCTCTGCTCATTCCCTATGAGACATCCCTGTGGAGAAGACACATGCAGAGAAGCTGATGGAGCCAGACCTCTGGAGCCAGAGAAGCCATGTGGAGACCCCTGCCAGCACTGAAATGTTTACAATGCCACTGGATCCACAAGACTTCCAACCCACTGGCCTGTGATCATCATGTATTCAGCATCATTGCATGTGTTTTGTGAGTCCAAAGAGGAATTTATAGATTGGTATCAGACATATGGGCTAACACCGGACTTATGGACTTGATGTACACTGGTCTGGGATGTTTTCTCAATAGTCAATTGTCTTATATATAAAACTATTTCTTATACATATATGAGTGTCTATGAACTTGTTCCTCTAGTCTACTAGTCTACTATGAACTTGTTCCTCTAGACACTAACACACTGTCCAGAGTTTGTTATAATCCACATAATCAAATGCCTTTGCATGGTCAGTGAAACACAAATAAACATCTTTTTGGTATTCTTTGTTTTCAGTAATGATCCATCTGACATCAACAATGGTATCCCTTGCTCCACGTCCTCTTCTGAATCCAGCTTGAAAGTCTGGCAACCTATTGTCAGTGTACTGCAGCAATTGTTGTTGGGTGATCTTTAAGTAAACATTGAGCATTAAAAAAAGGCATAAGTGGTTTATGGGCCAATCTGGCTTAATAAATGATAAATTATACCATCTCAAAGAAAGGATGGGTTTATTTGATTATTCTTTTCCAATCTTGTTCATTCTAACTATTCAAATATAATCTACTAGGGAAAAAATACCCAGTTTTCTCATAGACAATTATCCATGTGCCTCTTCCATTGTGTTGTTGAGAGCATTAAATAAGATTAACGTTAGTTCCCCATACTATCTAACGCATAACATTCATTAATATATTTGTAATGTCTAATGTTTGGCTCTTGCACAGATGTATGTGAATAGCAAAGCAAAAATGTAGTTTGGGGACATTAAAAATTTTAAAATATTATATAAATATATTTGGCTGCTTGAATATTTTCTTGATGTTTATCACTAGTGTTGGCCAGTGGTCAGAGAAACTGGATTGATTATTTTTAACATGAATGAGAACTCTTCTTTTTCAAAGGCATGAGAGGGTGAAAGCAAAACTGAGAATGTTTTATAAAGGTGAATTTATGGAAGGTCGGATGGATGTTTATGTTTTCAGAGCTACACTTTCATCCATGGAAGATATTTATTTTTTACTTTATGCTATAAAATGTTAAAATATAAAATTTTGACAATGGCATACCATTTTTTCCCTGAGTGTGCCTGAGGAACATTTTATTAGACACTTATTATATTTTATTAGACATTTGAAAAGTCTAATATTAACAATGTCTAAGAATCTATTTTAAAATCACATTCCATGTTTCAAAAAGTACTATTGGGTGATAAAAATTTTTTAGATATAGTTTTCTCATAGATATTTCATCTTTTTTGTATAATCTAAACAACCATCTTCTCCATATGAAGCACTCATCTTTGTTAACTACTAAAAGGGAGAATTTGGGCAAATGTCTTCATTTCAGGGCCTCAGATTAGGAAATAATGTACACTGTCTATGACCAAAAAGGCAAAACAACTGCCCTGCCATGGCATCTATTTCAACTCATAATGACCCTCCAGGATAGGGTAAAACTACCTCTTTTGGTTTCCAACAGTATATACTGTCATAGAAGTTTACTGCCTCATCTTTCTCCTGAAGAGTAGCTGATAACTTCGAATTGCTAACAAAGTGTAACTCATTCCACCACCAGAGCTCTTTCCATTACCATTTTTCAAACTGTTGGTGGTACTTGTGAACTAATGTGTCACAACAAGCGGAATCAGGAAATAGAATGCAATCAACTTAAATTGAATAGAAAATATAGATGACAAGGCTCATGGTTAAGTCTGTTTTTAAATGTTTGGGTTACTGGATTGGAGTATCAGAGCAATGCT